GTTCTTGGTTTATTTATCACTTGGTAAATATTACCTGTGATTTTGTTTCCATTTATTGACATCTGATCTATCTACTTAGCACTCTGAATAGTAATAAAAATAGCTGAAAATAAGCCCAATCAGCTGATAAAACATCTATAATACAATTTATAAGTTCTAAACTATTCTAGTGTTTATGATAATGACTCTGTGTTTATGATAATGACTCTGTGTTTATGATAATGACTCTGTGTTTATGATAATGACTCTGTCTTTATGATAATGACTCTGTCTTTATGATAATGACTCTGTCTTTATGATAATGACTCTGTCTTTATGATAATGACTCTGTGTTTATGATAATGACTCTGTGTTTATGATAATGACTCTGTCTTTATGATAATGACTCTGTCTTTATGATAATGACTCTGTCTTTATGATAATGACTCTGTCTTTATGATAATGACTCTGTCTTTATGATAATGACTCTGTCTTTATGATAATGACTCTGTGTTTATGATAGTGACTCTGTCTTTATGATAATGACTCTGTCTTTACAGATTTTGTTCAACATCATCACTTATATATTTTGCTGTCAATTAAAATGCCATTTTTTATCATTTCTAAAAAATATTAAACTGTATTATAAGCTTACTATACCCTATAGCTCTTTAGTTCATAGGATGTTGGTCTCAGAAACAGAACCAACGTCGGACGCCATTCACATTAATATATATACTCTATTATTTTAGAATTATTTAATTAGTAATTAATATTAATTGATAATATAATTTTATTAATTTTAAATATCACGCTGATGAAGCTGAATTTTTATCTCGGCCTGTGCTTTCGTAATGATGTTGTTACGACCACTCTTACCTATGTTATAACAAACATGTACTTGTATGAGAGAAGTAAAACAGGGTCAGACGGTTTAAATTAGGTGGGATATATTATACTGTTATATTAAAATATTTTACATTGATAACCATTGTCATCAATTTCATCTTTACATTAATTTCATCGTTACATTAATTTCATCCTTTCATCAATTTCATTGTTTCATTTTGTGCTTTTTGTCTCTTTTATAAATATCTTGGATTCATAAAACAATTCTTATGGATTACAATTACTTACTTTATTTGAGCAACGTTTCAACCAGGCCCCGTATTCTCAAAACGATCTTAGCGCTAGGATGTCCTAGATATACAGGTTAACAAGTACCGGTATAGGTAAAGACAAAACAACTGACTAAATGTCATTTAAAGATTATATCTTGGATTATTTTCTCTTTTCCTCTTTCTCTTCAATAGACAACTTCTCCCAATTTAAAAGAATCTAAAAAACAAAGGCACCATTGTCTCTCACTCTCCAGTCCTTAATCTCAACAGTTTATGTACTAGAACCAACAAAATTTAAAAAGAAATTTCTGTTGTATTTTTTAGGAAATTCAGACCGAAGTCGTCATGATCAAAAGATAAAACAAGGTAAGATTCAAGTATAAACTCCTGGCTTTTTGGAAAAAAATAAAAAACTATAGTTTTATGGTTCAGCATTTAAACCAGTATTTATAGAGTGTCCTAGGACGCACTTCAGACAGGACGAGACACCCTTCAAATCTCCAAACATTCGGAATGACAAGAAAATGTCTTATGCTGCTGGGGCAAAAATTGTCTCTTTGCCCTTTGCATAACACTGCCCATCTTCAAGGGCCAGAAGCAGAAAGCTTCATATAAAATCCCAGTTTGTATCCAAAGCTGGAACCTTTTCTTATTTCAATCTTTGTAACCTATGATGTTTTTGTTTTTCAGTGGCTTTGACTGTAGATTTACAAAATGGGTTAGTTTTGTTTTTTTATAAATTGGTTGTTTATGGAAACAAAGAGTGGTGGCTTGCTATTCACTTCCTATGCACTAATTACTCAATGACTCTTTTCAGAGAGATCTAATTTGGCATTCCAGCCATTACAAGCAGAAAATGGCATCTAACGGATTGAGTCACTGCCGAAGAATTAAAAGTTGCTCTCACTAGCATTATTGGTGTGTAAACGCAATTGATCATGTGACAAACTGAATAAATGACAAATAGCTGGTTCTACAGATAGTAGAATGTAAATATTCATACATTCATGCATCCTCATGAATATTAATTAGACAAACCTAAATAAGGTGATCCACCCTGCTGATTCTGAGAATATTTTCAGGCTGGTGGAAGAGGAATTGGAAGATATAGAAGTAACAGAACCAAAACCTCGAGAGAAAGATGTAGCCCCACAATTTATCATTAAACCCCGACGCCAACTTGTCGATGAAGGTGATAGCACCAAGTTCAAAGCTTCTTTTGAAGGATCGTCCAATACTCAGGTCACATGGTCAAAAGATGGAAAAGAAATTCTTCCTGA